GCGGATTGAATTGCAGACTGAATTGCAGGCGATTGCATATGAAAAACAAAATTAGAAAATTCGTTTTGTCCGACCGGTTAATTCTGCCATCGTAACACTTATTTATAATCCAAAATTTTATACTTGTACAGTCATGAACATATCGGTTGGGACACTTTTTATTTTTTTTAATAAGTTTTAAAACGCATCTAATGTTTTGCAAAAACGAAATACGATTGATGTATGTACTCTCTCTAGACTAAAGATAATACACCATCGTTGTTCACATTTGCAAAATATTAGTTACCTATAAAATATATATTTTAATTTTATATATATATAGGTATATTAAGTATACAGGTACTGAAAACCTATCCTGAAAAAGAAATGTCCACGACTGTACGTATAAACTATAAAGCAAGCTTAGTCCGCGCTAGAGATTATACATAAAAGAACAGCATTATAATTTTAGAATGAGTCTATAGATGCTTTGTAAGAGAAAAGTATGCCTAAAAATTTGTGCATGTGTGCGTGATATCAATGCTACGAATTGCAGAAGAAAATGCAACAAAGAAACTCACCATTTTATATTACGGATATCGTTTGTTGAACTCTTAGAAAACTAGAGCTACAAATAATTACAATATCCTGTCAGTATGACGGTGAAAGCAAGTAATGAAACTTTCGTTAATAACAATATCCAACACACCATATCACCCCATCGATGACTGTCGAGTGTTGGCGGTGAGCGGTCGGCGATCAACAATTGTTGTAAGTGTGAGCGGGCGGCGTAGATACCAAAATTCGAGATGTGCAAGTGCGTACATACTACATACGTGTATTGGCCCTTCCTCACTTATAGAGTGTATTAGGCTTTCCACCAGAGTGCACCTCAATCATTTTGTCCTTGTTTAACATTCAGTGAATAACAAGGAAAAAATGATATCTGGGCGACACTTGGGTGGGAATTCGAATGCACTGCAATGCGCCTGCCGGCACCGCTGGGCCCAGGGGCCAGGAGTATAATTAATTGAAGAGCGATGACTGATACGGACACGCACCACATATTGGCTGCGTTTCGCAATTGTATACCCGCGGTGCAGAAAATTGAATGTTGCTATGTAGTTTACATCCATTTCTTTAGGGTGCGTTAGTGCGGGCACGAGGACATTTTGAGGTTAACATGCAAAAGCCGCAAAAGGCTATAGTATATATATATTTAATATTTACGTGTGAATAATTTAGTAAAGATTGCAGGTAGAAAAAAGCAAAATTTCTGTTATATATAATTATTAGTTATCATTTTAAAATTAAAACGAAAGAAGCAAAAAATGGGATAAGATTATACGTGTATTACTTTTTGATAATTATTTAGTTTAGCCCTCCTCATCTCCGATTTTGATAAAATTATATTTATTTGATGCGTTTTTGCAGGAAACGAAAGCATTTATGTTAAATTTATAATAATTTCTTTTAGATTATTTGAGTTAATCATAGAAATGTGCTTATCTTAATAAAAATAATGAGAGTGAATCAGGAGTCTCTTAAGTCATTAGAGGGAAAGACATTAGCAATTAGAAGAAAGAAAAGCGATTGGAATAAATTAACTATGAAAGAGTTTTTTGAACAAGATTTCGAAAATGATACAGATAGTGACGATGTATATGATAGTGATGAAATAAATAAAAACACAGGTATGATTTAAACTATATTGATTATATTTTATATTTTAATTGTTACATATTTTAATTTCTATTATATTCTTTTATAGTAGATGATGAAGACAGTGAGCTTAATAGCGATATCGATAGTGATAGTGATAACGAGAGCAACTTGAATCATGCAGAATACAAAAAATTGATGAAATTGGACGATACCGATCCTGATTTTTATGAATATCTGAAAGAAATCGAGGAAGATGTTTTGGACTCTGGAGAATCAAATGATGAAGATAATAATGATTCTTTAGACTCAGATGATGGGGATAGTGAAAATTTAGAGGTATGTTTTTTTATATAAATGTAATTTAATTATTTTTGGTATTTTTTAACAATTTATTAAATATCTAGGTTGCTAGTGATGACTGCAGTGATTTTCAACCAAAGGAAACTGAAAGTGATTGTAAAAAGATTGTTAATATGCAATTACTGAAAACTTGGCAACAAGAAATACAAACAGACAAGTAAGTTTACTTCCGCTTATTTTTTATTGACTCAGTAACAGAATTATTATTTAATAACTGCATCATTCTTTTTAGATCAATTAACACTATTAAATGTGCTGTAGAAGCTTTCCATGCAGCTTTGAATAGTATTGCAGTATATTATTCAAGGTCATCAGATACAACCACACGATATAAAGTAGAAGGGAACGCAAGTTAGTTTTAATTGCTCTTAAATAACTTTTATTAGTTAAATAACTATTTTTTAAATATTTTTATATTTTACTAAAAATTATGTTTAGCATTTAATGGCGTGGTGGATTTATGTGTAACGCATTTGCCTGACGCATTTAAACGTGTTTTGAATCTGGATCCAGAATCGCAGAAAGCACATAAATCTAAAAAATTCGAAAAAATACAAGAAATTTTGAAATTATACCTACTAGATCTAATTCAAGTATGTATTAATCTTTGTGTATTGTTATTATGCATGTGCGTGTGTATGATGTATGTAGTTCAAATAATAATATATTGTATTAATAAATACATCTATTTTTAAGTTATTGCAGAGTGTACCATTGTCCCATAGTGCTGTTCTTGTAACACTTCTAAAACATCTTCATCAAATGTTGCCTTATACCGTATCATTCTCAACACCAAGAATCTTGTTAAAGCTGTGGTCAACTGGAGAAGAAACTGTTCGTATTACAGCTTTTTTAAACATCTTGCTTATTGCAACTAGCAAAGAAATGGCACTTGAGGAATTATCGAAGGTGAGATCCACACATGGGTAAACATATTTTATGATAAAAGAATATTTGCGGACAATGGCATCAGAGCTTTTTTTTTGTAGATGTATGAGGAATACATTCAGACTACAAACATTGTTTCACTCGACACATTGCCAAGAATAAATTTCATGAGGAACTCTTTGGTCGAGATTTATCTTCTTGACCATAATATATCGTACAATCACGCTTTTTCATGCATTAGGCAATTAGCAATTAATTTAAGAAACGCCGTAACATCAAAGAACAAGGTAATCGTTGAACAGTAATTGTGAACTTTTTATAAAGTGTATTGACTGACATTAAAATCTTTTTGTTTTCAGGAAAACCTTGAAGCTGTATATAATTGGAAATATATAAATTCTTTGCGATTTTGGACAGAATTGATAAACAAATCAAAGGATAAATCGATCTTGCGATCGCTGTTGTATCCATTAGTCGAGGTATTAAATATTTTAAATAAATAAATAAATAACAGTTCATACAGAAAAATACATTAAATTATTTTTTAAATAGATTATTACTAGAACAATAAAACTTAATCCAACTGCGCAATATTATCCATTGCGATTCCATTGTTTGGAAATGTTAATATCCATTTCTAAGGAAACTGGAACGTTTATACCTCTTCTACCGTTTCTTCTCGAGGTATTAATTATTTTCAAATCTTAAAATAAATATAATCGTAGAATTTCTAATAATCTTGTGTTTAATTTTTCTTTTTAGATACTGGATTCCTACGATTTTAATAAAAGGCATAAAGCAGTTTTAATGGGATCTATATCCTTTGTTTGTATTTTGAAAGTATCAAAGTCACAATTGGTACAAAATGATTTCAAAGATAGTATTATTGAAGCTATTTATCAACTTATACTGGAACATGCGGCAAGTGAAAGTCATAAAATATATTTCCCGGAGCTCTATACATTTTGTATAATACAGGTATCTTAAAAAGAAACAAAATTTAAGAAAAAATTTTTAAAATTAATTTTTATTATTACTTATGTAAAAAATATTAAATTAATGTACGTCATTTTGTAGTTAAAAAAATTTCTGGAGAAATGTCACATGGCAACTTATTGCAAGAAGATAAAACAGCTTGTAACTATGATTGAAGAAAATAGAAAATACATTGAGACCGAGCGTAGTAAAGCAACAATAGACCTGAAAAGTATGGTAGAGATTACAAATTGGGAAAATAGAATAAAGACAGACGGCACAGCAATAGCCAAGTTCTATGCCTCTTGCATTAACCTTCGCGAGCAGAAACTTCTTACAAAGAACAAAGAATTCAACTTTCAGAGAAAATTAATGAAACATAAATTAGATGAGCAGAATGTAGATGAAGATAGCGGAGAAGAGGACGAATTTAAGTTTCAGACGAAAGAAATGAGATCTGAAGTAAGAGTAGAAAAGCGACCTAATAAGAAAATAATAAATAAAAACAAGAAGCTAAAATTTTCCGAGAAAATATAAATATTATTCAAGATGTAAAATAATAATTGAAGTTAAAAATAAGGACGAATATTACTTTGGAATTACATATTTAGACAAATATATATTTTATAACTGAATATGAATTTTTTAATTACCTTTATATTTAATTTATTATATATATATAGAATTATGGAGAATTAAAATATCGATGCATTTAGAAAATAAAATACGAAATTTATTTATCTCATGTATCAATTTTAAAAATTTAAATAAAAATTGCATGTTTGAAGTATTTAAGAAATAATGATAGGCTAGAAATATGTAAAAAATTAATTTATAATCACATAATCTAATATTAATTGATTATTAAATAGATTTATATTGCATGTGCATTTGATGCGAGGTATCTGTGTCTTCTGATAAAAAGATTTTTTCTTTTTTCTTTTTATACATAATGCTTATTGAGGAAACAAATACATCGTGAAACGTATATGTTTTTTAACATTATAATCAACTTTGATTTTATGAAAATTAAATTAGAAATTTTCTAATTGTAAATATACAATAAAGATTTGTGATATAATACAATAGTGATATAAAAGATAATTTTATATGAAAAAAATACAAAAGAGAGATACGTAGGATGCAAAACATTTATTTAAGACTTTGATTTCAAATTAGATCAATTCTGTACATACACAATAGCTACAGTTATATCTTCAGACTGTTATAAATTTACAATCAATTTTTTTTTTAATATACAGGCATATCACCGACAAGTACATAATAGACGTAATGACGATAAACTATGAAGGATTCTTAAGTTAATTTAACGATCGTCGTTTCTTTTTTATAGCACTCCATTACATTTGTTTCGTTTTTAAACATAATAAACATAGCGTTTTTATAAAAATATATCTTTAATCACAAAAAGCAAACGCACAATTTTCGCTTTATCTACTTTACAAGAAGACGTTGCATGCTCGTTTTTTCTTTTATTAGCAAAAGCTTCAATCTGTATGACGATAACAAACAGAATATGAGATATCACTCGTTATAGAATATCGTGGTAATTTTATATCTGTGTTCGAACAGACGTATACTTGGTTAGTATTAAAATTATACAGACTATTCGTCGATAATAAAATCCTTTTGTCGCTATACAAATTGAATAGGTTTTAATTTATATCGTTCTGCCGTGTTACGATAAATTTTTTGGTACAACTAGTGCATTAGCAACAGCAATGTAACATCGAAACAATGTCGCATTCGCAACAATTGATATTGAGGCAAAAATTTAAAAAAAAACTGCAAACATAACATACGAATTATTGTGACGAATATGAATAAGAAAAGAAATAAACTAAATTCTAGCGTTATGTAATCTGAACGAGCGAGAAGAGCATATTGCTTTATACCAATATATGTATATATTTGTAAAATATATACATATTTTTAATAATTCTTAAGAGAAAATAGTATACTCATTAATAGTCGCCTAGTCTGCCCCTTAACATATAAATCGATAGGGCAGCGTTTAGGCGTTTAAAGTAAAATGAAGACTATTCTAAAACGCTGTTTTTTTTTTCCTTAATCATAAAATCATTTAAAAATTCGTAGTGCTTGAAACAATTCATAAATACGCTGCACCTAGAATTAAGTTTACCCTAAAGAAGTGCCAGCCCACAGTTACGTAGTAAGAAGAATGTAATGTAACTCTTGGGCTCTCAAACATGCATCCTCTATCAACGGGATCGAGTATGTATCCCCTAGATTCTCAATATTGTGCTTACGTAAAAACGTAGACTTTATTTCTCTTTATCAGCTTGTTACATAATAATGAGAATGTTAATTAGCAAAACTTTTGAACTGTACATTAATAAATCATTGTATAAGCATTAATGAATTGAGTACTCATTTGGTTCGTCTTTTGTTCAACTCATCTAATCAATAGTCATCAGAGCTGTATTTATAATGGTATCTAATAGCAGAAATAGAAAAATTATATAACTGTTTATTATGTATTATTTAAATCGTACAAGCTAATCGCACTGAAATAACGTGTGTTTATATATATGTTACCGTCAAAACCCACAATTGTTAAAACCTTATTTTACTAGTTAAAACTAATTTTAAATTTAAAGTTGAAACGAGGTCTATAATTGTTTCGCATGGGTTTTCGATTTTCCACGCGTAACGAGGTTCAACCCCTCCTCCTTCTTGTTTAGAAGACGAAACAAAGTCTGTAATTGTACTGTCCACATAGGTTTACGATTTTACATCTAAACAACCATTCTAGATTTAATTACTGAATTCTGGTTTTGACGGTAACATATATAATAGTATAACTTAATTTATATAAATGTAATCAACTGAAATGCTGCAATATCTTAACATTTAACTTTTAGTGGTCTAACTAGTTAAGCGATTTACATTACAATAAAAAAAAAATGGCGCGGCAAAATATTTGTAATTAAATTTGGATTGTACTTTTACAAAATTGAAATTACGTGCAACGTTTTTGTGGTTTTAATAACTTTTTATAAAATGTCCATGCTAAAATACCGTTCGAGTCGATAATCATTATTACCCTTGTATGTTAAGACTACAAACTAGCAACAAGAAACTCTAACTTCGAAAAACGTTTTTGCAAAATATCATTACATCATGCGACATGGCAGAAACCGAAATATTTCTGCATTTGATTGCAAAATGTATCCATCATTCACGCACTGTAATGTCGTTCTATATACAAGCTAGAAGTACATAAACAAGGTTACAGTTAAACTGCGATAAAAAGTAATTGTCTTATTTAGTACTCTAAAGGCCATGTCATCTCACACACTTTAGATTATCTTTAAAATTCTTACGGTACTGCAAACACACATTGCAATTACAGAATCTCCTTTCTTTCTTTCTCTCTTCCTTTCATTACGCGATCACAAGTTCTGTCTGACCTACAACAACTATTATTGTATATAAAAAAAAAAAATTAAAAAAAGAAAGAGACCATACTTCTTAACGGATGAATCAGTAACTTTTTATAATTAGATCATGTTGTCACATCATGCTTCTAATGTCCGAACAGATAGAAATTTAATTTTGGGAGGAGGTACTTAATATATAATACAAACGTTATAAAAAGACTACTACAGTTCTGCGGCTGATAACTAACTTATGCAATTGTTTACTCTCGTCTTCGTATTATATCTTAACAGTGCGGTGTAAATGATTATCTATCGTTATTTCCAAAATATAAGTCATCTGTACAATGATAGCAAGTTTTTTTCTTTTTCTAGCGTTATTGATTTCGTTTACAACAACACGTAATGTATGTATAATAACGTAGATATCTACTTTTCGTATAAACAAAAAAGAGAAAACTTGCACATCCTGTCTTATCCTCCATGAATATCATCATGTACATATATACTATTCATATACATATACATATACGTGCAAAATATACACAGAAACTTTAAAAGATACATTTAGCAGCATAAATTAAAAAGCTACTAATGCGCCCTATATCTGTATTAAAATATGCTATTAAAAAAAAATTTATAAAGGAATAGAAGGAAATGTTTCCATAATGCTTCCGTAATGCATAAAATCTATTATCACTGTATTTCTACAATAGGATACAAAATCCTCAGATAAAAAAAATTATACTATATAATCAAAATAATTTAAATATCAATTAATGATATTATAAATATAGTAGAACTTGTAGTTTTAAATACATTAAAAATATAAATACATTAATTAAAAGAAACATGAATAGAAAGATAGGATGTGCAATTTTAATACAAGGTAAGGCATTCAATATTATCATTTTTACTTACTTCACTGATACATTTTATAAAGAAAGAAAGAAATCATTAATCATGAAGTGCAATGATAACTTTAAGTGTCTTACATTGAACATTAGATACCAATTTTACACAAAGTAGAAATCAAAATGAATCGTAATTTAAAAAACGCCATTCCAAAAAGATTTTTGGCATGCAACTCTATTACTTTATCTGATGTTTATTTTTTTCTGATATTGGCTTCATGCTATTAATTATGAGCTTAAATTGATTAATGTTTACAAAATATACAATAAAGGGTGATATTATATATGTATACAAGAAACGTCATTGTGCATCAGGATGTTCATAATATTTATATATATATATATATATATATGTATATATATATATATATATATAAATTCTTTTTCTTTTTAATATTCCGCATCAGATACTTAATCTACTTTGTAAAATCATGGCATCTATTTAGAAATATTATCATACACAATAGATGTTTCAATAACATTAGTAATTATATTAAAATATTTGTCTGTATGTTATCATTCTTTTTTTTTTTAGCATAATTTATTTTTCGCACGTTAAAAAAAGACGAACCTTAAAAAAAACTCAAGTATAACTTGTGTAACGTTGGACTATCGTAAAGGATTGGCATCAGTCAACAAGCACGCTAGCGCTGTATACCTTTCTAGTTTTAAACTGGAAATCCGTTTCAGATGTTTATTGAGCGTATTTGCAATAATTGGTTGACAAGGTGCAACACAGGGTGGCGCGTCACCAATTAGCTCAACTATTGTCATTACAAAAGTTGACCACTCAGAAGGCAGGAAATTATTTGTGTCGCACAATTGTTCAGCTTGCTCGAGCATTGCTGCTATTGCAGATACACCAAACTGAAAGAACAAATAATAAATAACGTGAGGTTTCATTTATACATATATATATGTATGCGTGAATTTTTGTTTGCATAGAATTAAAAAATTCATAATTATGACATACATATAACAACTAACTAACCTTATTCAAAAGAGCAAAAGCTAAGCTATTATTTTTAATAGGATGATTAGTAGCCGAGTCGGATAATGCTCTTGCTAATCGCAATATGGTATCAAAATCTTTCACAGTATCGAGCCATCTTCGAAATTCGGAATAAAAGTCTGTCAATATATGACAATCTCTACGGCCTATCACGGCTAATCCTTTAAATATCGCAGTCCACAATTCTCTTAACTGCTTACTATATTCCGTCACATTCAGGTGAGGTAAAAAACGCAGTAGTAATGCCTACAACATACAAACAATATATGAGATATTGAAAAGGATAAATTTTAAATCACATATTTCTTTTATCCATTAAATTACCTTTCCTTTTCGAATACTTAGCATACTAGCTAATTTATCATCTTGTATTAATTGTTGCATACATGTTAAAATCATGTTTATTAATTCCGGTTCAGTTTTAGCCGTATTTACTTCAGATTCCCCTTCCTGTTGTTGTGGTTCCGGAATTGAAGCAAGAGGATTGCTCAAATCTTCAAGTTTGAATTGCAGTGTAAACATCTGAAGAATAACATTTTATTAATAAAAAAATACGTTATCAAATTATTTATTTTATTAATTTTATTATTTTGTATTAGAATATGATAGTACCCTCTCGATTTCAAGAAGTAATTGCCGTGTTTTTTTAGTGTCCTTCTGCTGGGACTGAGGAGTAGACTGAGAGTCGCTATTTGATACAACGTCCATATCGATAAGTTTACGTGGTGCTGTCACACTACTGCAATGAAGTTTGCCTAATGAATTCTCAAACTGAGCTGGCGTATATGCTGATCTTGAAGCGGTTTGAGGTGTTGGTTCCCAATCTCTAAAATAGCCAACAAAAAATTAAAGATAATAAATAACATGCAACTAAACCATCTCTAAGAAATAAATAACCTAACCTAACCTATTTGTGTATAGAATAAATAAATTTTATATTTTTAGTTAGCATTGGTTTTTGTAACTGTTCTATACACTATTCTATATACTATAACTATTAATATATAAATTATTTTCTTTAAATCATGAAATTCTACAATTATAATAAAAAATAACATTGAATATTTAGTGTGATATTTTGTAAATATATTTTGCAGTTCTATATTATAAAAAAAAAATATATATATATATAGATCTGTACGTGTTAAAATATATAAAAATACGAAATACTAAAGTAAAAGTTATTATAGGAAATACAAACTTTGAAAATAAAAAAAACATACTTGTGATCCCTGTGATATCCATTGTTGTTATGATGTTTCTTATCTTTTTGTTCTTGATTTGCATGTTGTTTATTCTGTTTATCACAGAATACAACATAATAGTGGTCATCAACATACGGTTGAATTGTATTAAGTTGTAACAATTGAATATTAATTAACCATTGCTTCTCATGAGCTTTTATAGCAAGTTTTCCTGAGTGTTCGTATTCTCCCGAAGCATTACCGTTAATGTTGTGAGAATAATGTTGATGATGATAAGATCTTTGATTATTTCTGTCATGATTACGGTGAGGATATTGATTATTTTTAAAAAATGGTTGATGTCCGGCTTGTTGTTCATTATGATAGTAAGATCTGTTCTGGTTTCTCTGATTTCCTAAATGTGAATAAGAATGTTGGTGTTGTTGATTGGTTTGGTTGTTAGGAAATGCAGGCATCATGTGATCTGGCCGAAGGAACTGTGGGCCTCCTAAATTAGGGTGTAGTTGCTGAAATGTAATAAGAAATATATTAATAATATAAAATATATTTTATTGCAGTAATCATAATGTACAATACAATCTGTAAAAGAAACTTACGGGAGGAAAACCATAGGAGCCATGAAGAGCTTGCCTTGGAACTGGTTGTGGCATTAAATGTGACATTAAATGCGGTGGTGAAGGATAACGTAATACAGTACCAGCTTGATCTAATAAATGAAAGAATAATCGATATTAATATAAATATTCCAACAGTTATCTTTAAAACTTAATTTTTTTCAGTTATAATCAATTAAAATATTTTTTTATTAAGACAGATAATTATAGCCCACTATAAATCACATTAAAAATAATAAATAAAAGACATAAGTTAAAATATAAAATACATGATTCTGATTGAGCAATATATTTTAGAATAATACCTAAATAATGAAAAATATCCAGAAAGTTCTGAGATTTATATCTACTGAATACTTATTATTAATTCGTATTTTGTAAATATATACACAAATCTGTATATATCTCAATGCCATATTTAAATAATAATAAATAATGATAAAAATATGCTTACTAATTAAGCCTAATATTCTAGGATGTTGCATCAATTGAGGATGTGGTGGTCTTATATTGGGCAAAACTATAGGATGTGCTCCAGGTAGACCCAATCCTGGTGGAAAACGTGGTGGAGGTAGGCCATTGACTTGAAGTTTCTCATTCAAAGAGAGAGCCTCAAAGAGAAGTGAACCCTCAGACTTCTTCTGTTGTTGTTGCGTTTGTGGTTTGCTGAGACCTGGTGGCGGTCTATTTGCAATAAGCCCTCTTTCCAATTCTTCCACTGTACAGGCATTTGGTAAAGATAATCGCGGCTGCGCTTTTGGAAGAGATAAATTTAAAGGACTACCCCATACACCAGGGCGGGGAACTATTCCTTCCTTATCTAATACCAAATGTGATAAATTATCCTCGATATTTATGTTAGAAGTAGTCTGTAAGAAATACAAAGCATATATAGAATATATGACATATGGAATTATTTATTTGTTTAAAAATTTAAATAATATAATAATAGAATTTAAAAAAATGTGAGAAAGAGATGCTTTTAATTAAATGTATATTTATAATAATATTTGCCAAGTTATATTTATACAGTGACTCATGAAATCAATCAAATTGTACCAATGTCATACACTTTTTTTTCAAAATTTATGAACAAAGGTATCTGTGGAAAGATCACATATATTTATTATGTTGATGTTGAAAGGTCATTTTCATCGATCATCTTCTGTAAAGTAGTTAGTCATAAATAATTATTGTGTACATTTGAACAGTATCATGAATCACTGTGTTAACATTACCTATGTTTTAATAAAAAAAAGTGTGTAATTGCCCAATAATCAATCCTGACATATGTATGGTAAATTTAAAATAGCGACTATAGATTTAAGAGAACATTTAGTAAATAAACAATATTTTTTGATATTATCGCGTTTTTTCAAGAAAATACAATAAATTTTAGAGTGCTTCATATAACCAAGGCTGTATATACCTGCAATAAATCAATGAAAATATTTTTATTTACTAAATGTTCTCTTAAATCTATAGTCGCTATTTTAAATTTACCATACATATGTCGGGATTGATTATTGGGCAATTACACATTTTTTGTATGTATATACAAATTCCTTTTTAAAGATAATATTAATTTTTAAAAACAATTGCTAGTACGTTTCTATGAAATTTAAAATAACATGGCATTAAACAATATTCTGAATGTAAAAGTCCTGGCACAGACTTGCATAATACTGCATAACACATAAGACGTAAGGCATAAGAGAATCAACCAGAGTGTGAAATGAAGGACTCTTAATTGGTCGATTTTCTTATGCTTTGTCTTATGTCTTATGCAGCGTTATGCAAAAGTCTGTGCCAGGGCCTTAATAATTCTATAATAATAGTAATAACAATAATACAAAATAATGTTTATAACAGATTAAGGTATAAATCATTCATATTTCATTGTTCTCTGCTAATTTATTAAAATAGATCTAACTTGTGATTGCTATAAATCTACTTTTATGAATCTATTTTTATATTCTCCAGCTACAACTTATAAAAGATAATTAAAGAAAATGGTATCTTAAATAACAACATACCTTTTTATTTGTTGCACTCTGATTATGAAGGCGATTTGATTCAGTAATTTCGGCAAGCTTCTCATGGTCTTCCTCCCAATCACCGATAGCAGCATCGGGACCAAATGTTTCATCGTTCAGTGCGTCGTATTCTTCCTCTTCGAGCTCCTCTTCCTCCAATGGACAATCCAGTCCATCCTCTAGATTATTCTCCTAATTACAAGCAAGTAATAATTATACGTGAAAGTATCAACATAACATAATATAAACCAGAACAGAAGAAACCAAGGTTGTTTGAGGGGCAAAAAAAAAGAAGGAACAAATCATTACAAAAGTCATAGCCGTGTTTTTTTTTTGTAGCGGCGATACGATCGACGCAATATCAGACGCAGGTTTACGGAACTCTTTTAATTAAGATGACACGCGCAAATTTGTCGACAAGCACGACCGGGATCCGCTCGATGTTAATGACCCTTTAGGGCGAGGAGTACGGGAATGAGGTTAGACAACGTTAACGTAACCCTCCTGCGACCGTTTTTGGGGGGACGATTTTATTATCTTCTGGGGAAGGGCGGGGAACGTTTGTCGACGAGATGCGGATCGAAGGTGAACGCGCGAAACGCGCTGCTTCGGACGACGGCTACCGGGTGTCGGCGGAAAAACAAAACTCTTTATTCCGGGTACGGGGACCGTGCCGCGACGCGACTGTTTATCGAGGAAGTTGTTACAATCGCGTCGGAAATTCACGCGAAATCGGGCCGTGGGACCGCCGCGCGGGTCGAACGATACGTTTCCGTACTTACTCCGAGCGTGGTATCGAAACCGAAAAAAGTGTCTGCCATTTGTGAAAATGAAATCTGCAAAATGACATGTTCCGACTAAACGTCAAGTGCAGCAACGCGGGGCATCAGCTGCCATGGCGGCCATGCCGTAACTCGCGGCTAACGTCAGGGGAAAGGCGGATGCGCAATGGGCGAAGTGCGCACTGCGCAGCGAGCGAACGCGAGTTCTCGCCGCGCGGCCGCGCGCGCCGCGCGCCGCGCCGTGACGAGTCGCGAGCGGGATCACGGAAATAAAATGATACGCGCGTATATTTTGTATTCCCAGATACACAATAATCTTTTCCGCGTCGCGGTTACGTGAAAATGAAAAAAAAACATCAGCAGAGCTGTTTCAACTGGTTGCCCGAGTTGCGATACGAAACGTGTGGAAGTTGCAATTCGACCGTAGGACATTGCGGCAAAATAATATGCGTTCGCGACATCGACAAGGTATATATATATATATTACTTAATTAAAGACCGACAGTCTTATAGAAATTCGCGTGTATATATTGAAATTCAGATGACTAGCTAGAGTAATAAAATATTAATTTTATGGTTTTTCGTTATGCATTATGCGATCACATCTTGTCGCGCGGCAAGCGTCCTCTAACCTCTTGCTAGTAAACCATTAAAAAATAATTAATCAATTCGTTATTGTTGCTTAGAAAACGGAAAAATTCCCTTTTTCCCATTGGAAAAAGCAATTCGTTAGCATTATCGTTACTTGAAAAGTACCAAGTCGTTATATTTTCACCGAATTTTGATGAAATTAATTTTGATAAATTTTGATTTTTTTTTGGAGAAACATATATATGTATATATATATATATATATATATATATATATCTCCAATTATCTGTGCGTCGTCACTGTCTGTGATTTTCTTACATCCATGAGTTCAACACATTAGCAATCCAATCTATGTAACATATGTGTGTATAGCACTTAATATATATAGCAGTGCTCTAAAGAGTACTGTAAAAACTGTTAAAACAAACTGTCAAATCCGTAATATAAATTAATAATTGGAAAGGTTTTACATAGCATATATTTTTTGCGTTTTCTTAATCATCAGAAAAAAAGCGATTTTTAAAAAATATAATAAGTATCAAATAGACCTAAAAGCGTCTAATTATTTTGATTACCTGTTAATTTATATAATAATTTCCAAATTCGTTGGGAAAGAGGGGTAGTAATATTCAACAGTCTGGATCTCGAGGCGTGCACTTTTTTATTGCCATTAAATCTTTTTTTGTATCGTACTACTTTCCTTTGGCTTTCTTATCTTCCACATTATAATTCCTTAAAATTATCTAATCGCATGCGGATACCAACGCGTTAAAATAAACGAAATCTGTCGCGTGTTGTTTTTTTTTATTTTTTTAAACACTACTCGTCGCATGAGAGTCCTCAAGTGTTGCTAGGCTGCTGGCCCTCAATGACGCCAGGCTCAAGGAACTATGATTTAGAGTATTCATGCCGTGAGGATCTTCGCAATGCAGGTACAGCCGTGAACTGACAGACTTATGGCAATCGGGGCATAAACGTTTCTTCTTCTTGTCACGTCTCTTCAAGATGTCGTATGCGCATCTGCCAAATGCATGGTTGCACGAGAAAATAAGGACAGGAAAAATATTCTTTTGAAAAAGAATTGGCAATTAAAATTTTACACAACATTACAATTGATTTTCCAATGTTATATTATACTTAATTCTTGCTTTAGTTTCTGTTTCTTAACGGAAAAAGTAAGTTCCTGAAATTTTTCCGCGTGTCTTACCGAGCGTGTAATATATGGGAGCAAGGTAATGCTTCTAGGGAATCAGCTTCCAGACCGAATGGTTCATTGCAGCTTCCGCATCGTAACTCCAAATCTTCTTCCATCGCAGTCGCCAATCTCTCGTAATGTCCCTTTTGTTCCTCATCTCCCAAAGACCCATAAATTCTCGACAACCTGGACCTGACTGTTCGCACCAGTAGCTGTAAACAATCAGATTCTCGTAATCTTATTTTGAACGTATACCTTTCTCGCAGAAAATTAACGTAAAGTGATATATTACAGTGATATTTTTTTAGTGGCATTGCATGTATATATGTTATAGAATGTATAGAGGTACCTCTGTTTCTTTCCTTTTTTCCTTTTGCAAGAATTTAAAGTTTCTTTGAATAAAAATTTAAATATTCTTTGATTAATAACCCTTGGTTTTATTGTATGCAGAAAAGACACGATACGATAATTAAATTATAAATAGCGAAATATTGCTTACATATAGGTAGCGTCTTAATTCGCAAACTAACAAATAATCTTTATTGAGTCTTGTTGGGCATCACCGACGAAGCCGCATATTTTACGTTAGATATTGGTTGCGTGTACAGCGTCAAAATGGAGAACCGGCTCCATTGATTCGTAGACATAAATAGCGCGAAGATTCGCGTGGTGTGAGTATGATAATATATGCATGGAATACTTGTGTGACGTACCAGCGGCGTTGTAATGCCGATAGCTCTTTCGGTATTTCATTGGAACTCGTAGTGGACTTTATTATGAGGCGTATGGATAAACAATGCATACAAAGCACGCTCGACTATTCTCGGTCGTAGCTTATATTCAATTACTGATGCTTTTGCATTTCAAATTCGTCACAAAATATTGCAAGATAAGAGAAAGTTTGTTTATTCAAATAAAATTCTTGTAGCAAGAGTGGACCAGATTATTCTAAATCGCTAAATCTAACAATAAGCCGATTTCTAAAATCTACATGGAATTAACTTTTCCTTCGGCACATTCGACTCGTTGCAAGTCAGCGAACGGGAAACTTCACGCATTTATTTCGAATTCCGTTGATCCTCAAAGGCTAGAGGAAAGGAAAAAAAAAACTCCCAAGTTTTCTGGTATCTGGCAGAAGAGAGGAAATTGATTTCATAGAGAGACAGAGAGCATCGCTCTTCTCTGGTTCTCCAGCTTTCCTCCTCTGTCCTTTCTCTTTCTCTCAGTTTCTGTGAAATAGAAGGAACATGCGTCACAAAATCCGCGATCTGTATTGGCAGTTTACCTTGGCGCCAACCGATCCCGCCACTTCTAGAAGCCTAGTATTGAACTCGAGGGGTCTGCAATTGCATATCTTGTGCTGAAGCCTGAGAGCTTCCAGGCATCTCGCCGCGCCGTCCATCGCTTCCATCTGGCACAGTCGATCGCCGGTCGCGGCCGCCGAGCCCATCGCGCTCTCGTACTGTCGGAACGCTTTCTGCAAAATGTCAATCTTTATCTCACCGATGTTATCGTTCTAATAAGCGGACCGGCGTACGCGATGCGTGAACTAAAGGCTAATTGTATATGCATCGCGATCGCCAACTAAAAGACATTAAATTCAACAGGCAGCTTCTATCGCTCAAAAGCACAATCCTATGTGGCATTCGCATAAAGCAGCAAATGAAGTAAATATGGTTATTAATGTTTGTGATGATGTTTATCATTTTAATATATTGATTTGAACGGAAAATTCGTTCCATTTTTTTTTATATTTGTACTAGTGTCATATTTCCGTTCAACCCAATATATATAAATATTATATGACTTTATTTGTATTGGGGTAGATAGAAAGCTTAATATGTGATGTACTTAACAACATCATAATAACGTAATAATTTAATAAATTATGTGAAATTTTATCAAATAATTAATTTGTAATTTTATTTCGAATTTTTATTTAAATAGAGAGTTTATTATTTTCTATTTTGATAAATAACAATTAACATACAAAAAATTTTAATACATAAAATTACTAAAATGATTTGATATTCTTCAGTTTTTCAAAATTTGTTTATATTTTTATGTAAAGTTATAATTTAAACGTATAATAAATTAAACGTATTACATTAAATATATATTTATATCTGATCTTAGAATTACAGGTTATATCAATCAAGTGCATATTCGATTAATTTTTAAAGTCTTTTATTACAAGAATGAAGCTTTATTCACAAATAAATTTGTTATCGATTTATTTTAAGAGAATCACCGCCTTTTTGATTGTACCACTTGTATTTCGGCCTACTCTCTATACATTTATTCATTTCTATTTAGAGAAATTAATATAAATTAACACATACAACTAATATTTAATTTATAATTTTACATTTACTATTTTACTATATAGATTTATATTATAATGTATGCAATAACGCTATTATTATAAAAATAAATTTGTTTACTTTATCAATTTGACGTAACAATTTTCTGTAGACATTTTGTTCATTTATTATTCATGGTTCATTTATTATTTATATCAGTTTATTAATTATATCACTTGACTTACGAGTGAATTTGTATGAAACAAAGAATAATTTTTTTTCTTACACATTTATTTTTTATTTAGTTGAGATATTATTGAAAACCTTGGTTTTCTTTTTTGCCATATATAGAATTACATTCTGCGAATTAAATTAAAATGAATTGTTTCTAACATATTCAATTTTTTTAATTCTTCAAATGCAAGAATAATTTTAAAGTCTTTTTACACACACGCACACATACAAAGTTTTTTTTCTTAAAAATGAGGCTTCACTAAAAAAAAATAATTTGTTTTATTATTTCAATTTATTTTGAACTCACTTTTAAAATCACTTCCTTTTCGGTTGTATTACATATTTTGAGCCACCCCGTATACAAATGTGAAACATCAAAGATATATATAATATATCATTTTATGTAGATTTTTTTTATAGTAACATTTCAAAATCTTAATTTAATAATTGGTCACAAATATTACATTTCAATATTCTGTTCCTTCAAAGTGGACATTTTCAAAATTTTGTTGTTCACTTTTTAAGTTTTCAACTTTCAAAGAGTTTTGTAGCAACAAAACAAAACGAAAGCGGTATGCGTCGCAAGCGTGTTACAGTGTTAAAATCGCTTTTACAACATGCGTGACATGCAAAAGAACGTTTCGCGTTTATGGTATTTTTTTTTATCGCCGATGACAGTAACAATGTTGGAACGAACAATGAGGCTGTGAATGGTTCTGATAGCATCGTAGCACTTGACGTGAATACCGATAAAAAAATCTATCTGTAGAAACGTTTTTGATGCAATATGCAAATGGATATATTGGCGTTATAGTTTCTATGCGTGATCACACATTTCTATTGCGTGATCACACATTTCAATTTTTACATATAAATATTTGAAAAAGAAAAGGCTCCATCCTCAAATTATCCATTGTGCTTTTAGCTAATTTAGCCACGAGAATCGTATTATACGTAATGTATTTATAATTGTATACATCTGTAATTGACATGATTAAAAAAAGAACCAGGTGAAAATATTACTCGCGATATCATTGTTGGAAAATTCAATGTGAAAGCTAAAGAAAAGGCACACTGACAACTTAGAGTAAATTACTCACATTTATATCCGACTTCTTTCTGTAAATGTCCCCCATTATGCGGATGCTTCGAGCGTAACTGGCCTGGTCGCCAGAAACCAGCGATAATCGCGTTGCTTCCTGCACAATGCATAAATGACAGTTGATATGATCGGTTAAATCGTATTATTGTGGTATCGATTAGCCAATACAATCTTCTCTGTCAAACATCCCCGATAAATTATGCAACACGATTTGCGTGGAATTTCTTCTTCAAAAATATCAATAGTGCCTTTGACAAGGCATGTATGTATAATTGTCACGTGATTGAGCAAGGAATTGCGAGATTAAAAATTAACGTTCGTGGAAAAATTCGCAATATCTTCGAAGAAACCGTTTAATGATTTAAGCCGTTTAACGGGACACAGTTTTGTGCTGATTTCTATCTTTGATCTGAACGACGAACGAAGTTTCTTCTCTTTCGAGCAATTTTAAGTTGGAACTTTACCGAGCAGTAATCATGAGCATCGCCGAGTTCGCCCTTTTTCCTGAGCGCCGCGGCCATTTGTAATAACGCTGCCCTGTGATGACGCGAATTCAGATCTCCCAGCTGTAAACTTCTGGAGAGATCGTAAGCTCTCGCCGCGTATCTAGCGCTCTTGTCCGCGTCCTGTAATCTGCAGAAGAGTTCCGAGAGACCGACGTACACCTGGAAAAGAAATTGCACGTAATCAAAGTAGGTAGTCACTATCGTGAACGGACGGACTAAGAGATTACTATAACAAAAAAAAATTTCTACGGGCCTTCGGATATATTTTACAAATGAAAGAAAAGAAAATAGTATTAAAACGTTTTAGTTACTATCTAATCTACGTTTCTTTTTTTTGTTATGAAGAGAGAATTTCAACAAAAAATAAGAATGTTTCTTTCATTACAAATTCATTATGTTACAAAATATAGTTTTTACACTATTTTTTTGGAGTATTAATTCCAGAAAGAATTGAATCGAGTATTCAGATAACGCCAAGTGCACGACGTGAGTTAAAGATGCAGCTAATCGACTATTCGAGGAATGAAATAAAAATCAGGCGATATACGAAAAACAGGGGGACTCGGCTCATTTTGCAAAAAAAATACAACTGCTGCTTTTCTAATCGTTTTTCTGCGCCGTTCGTTAATTAACAAACAACACGGCAATAATGCGCGCTTATGGTACTCGTGCGAAAGAGGAAACTAGCGAACAAAGGGACACCTAATTACCTGCAGTTCTAAGGAGGGATCTTGAATGGAGTGGGCGATTTTGTGGGCTCTTTGAAACGCTTCCAAGGCTTTACAGAATCCTGCTAGCTCTAAGTGGACTCTGCCTACGGTTAAGTGAACTAATCCAGCAGTCGCGCACTGATCACACTCGTTATACAAGCTGCGAGAATGCAAAATCATAGATATTAGCACAATACACACATATACACACGTTAGGTAGTCAGTGAAGTCATCACTTAAACAATTTACGTCACATTCGGCTATTGATTACGAAGGACTCGATTATCCCTCCTCAAACTTAGAACACACTGTCGCCACTGAGTTCAGTTATGACACATTAATCAAAGGTTGCACATGGATGCATTTCCCATATCAACTCGTATCGACACTTTATCAACAACTACTGTCTGTATTACAATAGCATAGGAACACAGGTATGTACGTTACGCGCGTATTTTTAGATTTCTCGAAAGTTGACGTTACATTCGTTTACGAATAGGTCGTATGGCATATGAAAGAGATTCAAACCTGTGCCGAGCGTAATCTAACGCTCTATCCAGGGCGCCTAATCTCTCGTGAGCCCTGGCCAAATTCAAATACGCTTCTGCCCGCATGTTCGGCGAATCCAACTCCTCGGAAATGCATAATTGCTTGTTACCGAATTCGATACTGTCTCTGAAAGGAGAAAAATCACACGATGGAAGAATCGCGGCGTTAGGAGCATATATCATCCTTATAGAGAGGAAAAAAGATACAGTGATAAAACAGTTGTAAAACCAGATAATTAACGCTTAGTTACTTTTAAACGGGATATTGGACAATCTTAATGTATTAATTTTTAATAATATATCATAAATATATACTTGTGTAATACTTTTTATATATAAAAATAAATATATCGATTTAGTTTTTTTTCTAGACTACTTTTAGTAATTAATGCGGATAACACGTTTCACTTTACGTTTGTACATGCAAATAACGCAAACAAGTGTGACAAAGAAAAAACTGGGAAACATTACAACCTATACTATGATCTACCTGTATTTGCCCCAATCCATGTACGCCTGATACAAGTAACCGAGAAGAGCGAATTTATCCTCGCGATGTCTGATACTCTTCAAGGCGCCCCTCCATTTCCTAACCGCGGCTTGTTGTTTATGAGCCCTATACAATTTCAAGCCTTGCTCCACCTGGGTCATAAAAAATAATGGAATTTCAGTACACTGCGTGTTCTTGTTCGCTGATTTATCTTTTTGCTGATTTATGTGCTGATTTATTTATCGCATAACGGTCACAAAGAATGTTAACGAGCTCGGACGCCGCGGGTAGGAAGATGAAACTTTTATATATTAATAATTTATCGCCCTTTTAAATTTAAAATTACTCATCTATGAAATTTACATCCCGTGATTTAATACCTTAATCTCGATAAGTTCTTGATTTTCCGCCGATTGCACGCGTCCTTGTGCCTGGACTATTTATCGGATATCCAGCACATTTCCTCATATCAACTATAGTCAGAGGCCGCACGACTAACGAGGCCTTGAAATCGATGCTCATGAAATTGACATTGAGTTAATAACGGCCCTCTTAAGCAGAGATGCAATGTTCAAGAGCGTATGGGCAAGAGGAAATTACGCACACTATTAATACAGGCAATATTAATAGACGATAATTATAAAACGATGATTAAATTCGTTGTTTATGAATTACAATGTAATTTCACGAAGCACAATGTGTATAGCTGTATGTATACAATTCTATATATCTCATATAATTCGTATTATAATTCTCTCGTGAGAAGAAATAAGAATATAAGAAATTTAACGTTTTCTCTTTACAAAAAAAGAGCCCTTCAAAAATAGCGTTGTACAAGGCGTGTTTAAAAAAATAAGTGTTGATAAGCCTGCAGTAAAAAAAGAACCAATTGAGATAAAAAATATTTATCACTGAAATAAATAAACTTCTACCTAACTTTACTTTTCTATGTAGTCGTTCTACATATCGGTTTTTTTTCTAAGCACTAGAGCACAAGCTTTTTTATGTCCTTTACATAGAAATCCGCCGCCGTCTGGGAGTCCAGCACAGCTGCTTTCAACTTCTCATTCTCCTCGATCCGTTAAAAACCAAACCACTTCTTGAGGTGGAGGAAAATGTGAAAATCATTTGGTGCAAGGTACAATTTATACGGAAAATGCTCGAAGATTTCCCATTTAAAGTGCTAAATTTCTTGCAATGTGCACAATGCGTTAAGCTACAATTCACGCTTATTCGTGAAAGAGAATGATTCTTTATGTCAATGCACATTTCACGTTTTCATTCATCTCGCGGAACATGTTTCTCAACGGTTCAAGAAGAATGAAAACTTAAAAGCAGCGGTGCTGGACAGGCTGAATTTCCAGGTATAGCGAATTTCTATACAGTAAGCATATAAAATTGCGTCAGTATAAAAAACATTTAGAAAAAAGCAATGACGTTATAGAAAAGTAAAGTAGGTATAGATGTTATTTTTATAAGTAATAAAATCTTTTTATAATTCAACAGTCTTTATTTTTGAAAGGCACTTGTATAAATTAAATTGATGGAAGATATTCCACAAATTTTGTTTATATTTTTCTAAATTTCTTGAGGAAAAATTTTTAAATCATTATTTGATTTGTTTCATTATAGTATTACACAAGAAAAAATTAATCTATAATGTTAAAAGCAAAATTATATCATATATGTATGTAACTGATTGTGAGACAGAGAGTAACATACACATCGTACAACTATATTTTAAACTGACAAATTTGAATTTACTTAAATTGCCACTTACAAGTGGATAAACTCATGTTTACATAACACTGCTCAATTGTACGTCTTGTAAAACGGGCTTCAGGTGAGAGAGATAGCTCCCCTATCCAGGAAGAAGAAGTCACGATACGTGTTATGGTCTTTATCACGCAGCAATAGCCCTACCGTAGATAATACGAGCAAAGGTAGAAGGCCGTATCGATTAGACCATGAACTTTGTCCCTGGTAGATTAAACTTTACGATAAAGTATATAAATAGCCTCGTAAGGCATATAAAAATGTATCCACGTGCGTGTACATGACCGAGATACGTAATTTATGTTCATTACAATTATACATATCGTGAAATAAAGGTTCATACATCTGTTCATTTGTCATATCTCGGCAATCTTGCGAAATATCAAGAAATGCGATCTCAAGTCGTCTCAAGAACAAAGTAATAATAGTAATAAGCAGAAGTATATTAATGGTAGTATTCAGAAAAACGGAATCAATTTTACATGCGAGGTTGCATGCGAATAAATCTTAATTTGCTTATAATCATTAACATTACAAATATCGGAGAAAGAGCAGAATTTATCTTTAGACAATTGTTTTTGAGACAATTTTCTCTCTCTCTGTCTCTCTCTCCACTAAAATATTAATAATTATAATTAAAAATACTAGTAATTTAACAATTTATATAAATTATAAATTGCGATTATTAAATGTAACAAAAAATTAAATTTTTGCAGTCAGAAAATTTTGCATAGAAAATAAAAAAAGAGAAAACCATGATTTTTGATAATAATTTTTCAATCAATAATGTAATCCGGCAATATGACTTTTATGCTTTTCTATAGTTTCGCCTTTCGATTGAGTTATCGTAGCTTTGATTGACTAAACGTAAACGCAAATTATGCTTGTTACTACATGAAGCAGGCATCATGAATAAGCTGTCAGGCGCGAGACGCGAAATCATAAGTTTCTCTGAGTGAAACGCATCCAGAACGGTAAACACAGTACGACCGGTACTTCGGTTTTAGTGGTTACGAAAGGATAGCGTGACCGCAGCTACGGCATGCACATCGTGAACTTGACAGTGACCGATAAAGCATACTCGTCCGCGAAATACGCTTCGTTATATAGTTGTCATGACCCGTCGTTTACTTGAGAGGGTCCTCAGATACTCGTTTGACATATTACACCCTCGATCGCTTTGACACGTTAAACGGGTTCAGCCGTGATCGGTCGAGTAATAGTTTAAAGAATCAATTATAATTGAATTAATTTGTAAGATCATTAATAATTCGGTGAGTGTTATTATGGCGTCCAGCCAATTCCGCTTCTAAGCGCGTTTGTCTAAAATTATAATCGCCTCTTGCGTTTCGAGATAAAACACTTGGCACGCCTTTCGAAGTAAGAGCTTTATTAATAAATTGATACTTGAATAGAAATGAAACATTAGGTATTAAAATATCATAAATAATGGTGACGTTACATCTATTGCAGGCGCAACATTTACATCTGATGCATCTCTGTAATATTTTACTCGCGTTTGTAGTTCGGAATTGTAATAAAATAACAAAATAATATTATTTTGATAAATATGAATTTATAATCGTTATATTTTTCTCATATTTTTTATGCATATTATTTTTATAATTTTTTATACATATATTGATCAAACGATTAGTTAATATTACTAATTTAATGTATTCAACTTAATTAAAAGCTTACTATATTAACTATATTAACGGTGAATTAAAAGATTAGTACATCAACTTAATTAAAAGCTTAGTATACATCTTTTTACATGATCAAAATTTATTAGATGTAATTTTGTAAGACTCTTATATATCGGAGATCATCTGTCTAAATTTAACCTTCATAACATTCATTTCTATTTGTCCCATGAAAATTAAAAAGAGTAGATACATTACGAATACTTACCCTCCTTCGTGCTAATTGTTGATCGAGCCGTTTTCTGCAGCTTATGAGACACTCCCATATACTAGTACCCGACCTGCCATTTTGGTAGTGATTATTACCGTTGCCATTTTGATGCCGATAATCCTCTTCGGTGAACTCGCAGACGTCGAGTGGATGTCTCGAGCCATCAGGGCTACCCAACAGCGCGGTCGCCGAGAGCTGATGACTCGCCGATCCGCTGTAAATTTTCGAAACGTACAATGATGCATGCCATGGAAATGGATAATGGTTCAAATATTATAACTCTTTAGATAAAATGATACAATTATCGGCCACTTAATACCTTAACCACTCGATGTTTCGTTATAAATTTGATATTTCGCTGTTTTTCAATTCTACAAGCCCCAAAATATTCGCTATAAAATTCTCAAAGGTATTATTTGTTTCATAAATATGTATATCACGCGAAACCATTAAAAAATATTAAAATTATAAAGTAGAGGATATTGATATCATATATGATTTATATATTATCGGAAAATCTGTTTAAGCGATGATTACCATCGCTGACTATTTATTTAAAGATAGCAAAGATCTCTCCGACTTGAAAGAGAGCAGCCATGGAATTTCATACTCTCCGTAAAATCCGATGAAAGGAATTTAAAGAAGACGTAACCGAGCGCTGTGTGATATTTTCACAACATCGATCGCTTAAGTTCTGTAGGAATTCTGAAATTGTTCTCTCGCGCTCGGGTGATTTATACTTGCGATATAATAGTAGAATAGTCTTCTCTTTCTCGACATTTGCATATGTCGACAACACATATAAAGTTGCACAGTAAATTAATGTGTGTGAAAATCACATTATAAAATAAACACGTTATAAGATAAAAATCATATTATAAATCACCCGAGAAATTACGAAAACATTTGAATATCGTGATAAAAAGAAAACTTTGAAGTTGACACTACTTGATGTATATATGTCGCAGGCTTTTTGTATAATCAGCCTTTTTGGATAACGCCAAGAAAACTAACCCAAACCTAACCCTAACCCAAACCATTTTCGAAGGCGTTATGCAAAAAGGCGTCTTTTTGCAAAGAGGCTAGCCTTTTTGCAAAAAGGCTGATTATACAAAAAGGCTGCTATATATACACAGTTATTCTTTTTCTGAGATTGTGTATTTCTTAGAAATATCTTGCAAAAAAATATTCTCTTTATGTTATTATATTTATATTACGTATGTACACGTATTATTATTATTATATTAATTATTTTTTTTATTTGCTTTACAACTCACATTGGTGTCGTAAGTGTCAATCGAATCAATTGATATGATTTACAGTCTATATATTATACAATATACGTATGAATATTATCTTTAAGAGTATTGTTAATTTTTCTATTAACACGCTACAGCGATTCGTACAATATTGGAAAATGTGATTGAACTATCATTTTGGATGTAATGCTTCTCACCCTATAGTCAATATCTCGCGAGTGCGTGTCAAACGTCCGTGTTATATGATAGATGTGGGCAACTGACCTCCTATAGGTTCTATGCGCAGACTCTTAATTTATTTCTAGGACGAACGGAAGGAGCACGCAGAGATAAACCGCTTTTGGCTGCCGTCCCAGAGGTTGAGTTTGCAAACTGCGCGTTAGGGAAGTTACAAGGTACACAGGGTATCCCATATGTAGCTACCGCATCGCTCTTCACTTATGAATTTCTGGATCAATTCGTTCTCAGTCGCGAGGGCGAAATTTTTCTCTCTGAAAATTTTATTTCACTATGCGACCCAGTTCTTAAAGCGAGCTCGGTTATCTTTTGGACGGTAATTGGTTATATCTAAAATGTTGAATCAAGGCACGTTACAATTCGCATAAAATTAAATAAAATATGTATAAGGTTTAATTACCATCTCTGCGAAATTGGTCCATCAAAAAGCCAAATTTAATTGCTCGTAATTCCAGAGGCGTATTATTATTTTACCTTTTCATAAAAAAAAAAAAAAAAGAAAAACGACTCCATATTGATCGAACTCTCTCTAGGTGAAAGGTAACGAAATATGTCTGGGACACCCTGTGTAGAATCATAGTTCTTACCTACCCTACCGCAATGCGACCATTTCACATTTGCTCTAGATCCCAGAAAACTGAACTTTATTTGTATTCTTTTTCTTTCAATTCTGTGCTGAGAGCGAAACTCTTTACCAGAACACTCGCCCTGAATTACGATCATCAACTACACTTTCTCCTTACTTTTTTATTCTTTTTTTTTAATATATTAGAATACCAAATGATATTTTATGACATGGTTTTGCGTTTTACATATTTACATATATTTGAACATTAATGAGAATGTTGATCAATATTAATGTCCTCTCGATATATTTCAATATATCTCTATCCAAGCTCTATATTATACAATAAAAAGGTTTTTATAAGTAAATAATTCTAATCTTATCATGTATAAATAATTTATTTACCAAGTATATTTATGATATTAGATCACGTTTCTTTCATACATATATATCTTTCTAAAAGTATCTCATTGGTTTTTATAATTGCCAATATCTGCCTTCAAAAGAAGACTACTGTCTTCATAACAAAAATAACAACTTTTTAAATTAAAAAAGCTGCAGTTCGATACATCAAGGAAACCACCACATAATCCGCATACATTTTTGTCGAAAAATATAGCGAGTATTAATCAGTAATCATGTGACGTTAGAACTAATTAAGGTAACCGATCACAAAAGAGAACTATCTCGTGCCTGACGCTCGATAGAAACCCCGTGAGAATCACGCCCCGTCGCAAATTACTTTCCACTCCCGCTAAAGTTCTCCCCAAAACAGTCGCGTGCCTGTGCGCGCGCGCATACCCGTTTGTGCCTCGGTGTGTATGTGTGTATACAAGCCCGTATCGTGTAAAGCGAAGAGTATACGACACTCTATCGCTTTCCCACCACGTTCGCTAGGTGGGCGAGGCACCTGCGACCTCTTTTGCTGACCCATTTACGAGCTACGAGATACGGTACGGCGTTGCGATTCTAAGTGGAAAATCGAACCATCCTCTGGTTCTTCCACGCGTCGAGGTCGATCAACGAAATACAAGGCATCTGCCCTTGCCATCTCTCTAGGCCTTCCACTTCTCTTAAGCATCCTGTTCTTGCTTGATCTCGTAATGACTTTATGCGAAAATCGTATGAAGCCTGCATAGATACTATATTCTAATTAGCGTGCAAAATGCCATAATCAAATACTCATAATCAATTAACGTATATTATTATAATCATATAGGATTTCTGATTCACAATTGTTTCGGTTTTCATATTGTAAATTATGCTTGTATACAACGCGTTCTGCTTATCACAAAGATTACCAAAATAACACCCGGAAAAACATTTAATAGTAAATTTCATAGTAAATTACATTCCTGCGATATTACTTTTGCATTATTACTTTCTAAGAAATCGATATGTAATTTTTTTATATAATTTTCCAACTCTTTTAGTGATTTCTCTAAATATCAAATAATTTTTTAGAAATATACAAGAAAGTAATTTTTTTAATTACTCTTTTATTACGTTAATTAGCAAAATAAAGA